GAAGAATGCTGCGCGCTCGTTCTGCCATTAGCCAGCACACATTAGTTATGTTGACGAGTGTGCCTGTCAGCTTGTACTGCGATGTCGAAAGAATCCGTGTTCGCGCACGCACGCACGCACCAGCAAGCACACAAACCAGACACGCGCGCGTACTCTCATGCCCACTCGCGTACACGCAAGAACACCGAAACACGCAGACGCGCGCACACACGCCCTCGCGCATGTTTCAACGCACGTATGTTTACACGCACGCACGCACGCACGCACGCATGCACGCACGTACGCACGCTCACTCGTACACTCGGGTACGCAAGCACACCGAAACATAGACGCGCGCACACACGCCCGCTCGCATGTTTCAACACGCGCATCTTTACACGCACGCACGCACGCACGCACGCACGCACGCACGCACGCACGCGCACACCAGAAAACACACAAACGGACACGCGCGCGCGCTCTCACGCACACTCGCGTACACGCTAGCACACGAAACATACAGACGCGCGCACACACAGACACACAAGTACAGCCCGATTCATATAAATTCCGCGTAATAAACGATTGTTTCAATGTCTGGACTAATGAAGATGGGCTTGTAGCCAATCTAGGTGATTCATCAACGTGTTCCCATACTTTAATAAATTTGTTTGTCACTAGATATCGCACCTACAGTGAGCGAGCTTATATCTACAAAGCTAAATGCCGTACCTGGCAGGTGCGCAAACATTTGTTGACACTTTACGCATAGGGAAGCGCAACACGTGTCTGCTTCAGTGTTAGTGCTCGAGAAAGCATTTATCCGTTTGAAATAACGACGCGCAGACAATTTAATCGGCAATACTCGCGTTTGTAAAAGACGCAAAGTAGCCATTGCACGAATTCGCACACAAACACGTTTATAGGAGTCTCGTTGGCGACAACGATCGTATACTTTTTTGTTGTTAAAAATTAATAGAAGCTTGTGTAGCCATATGGTGGACATTGTAGAAAATCACAGAACTTCAGAGAGAAGGCGGGAGATAGTGAAACACACACACAAACAGAGAGAGAAAGATATATATATATATATATATATATATATATATATATATATAGAGAGAGAGAGAGGAGGAGGAGAGAGAGAGAGAGAGAGAGAGAGAGAGATGAGGGAGAGAGAGAGAAAGAAAGAGAGAAAGAGAGAGAGAGAGAGAGAAAGAGAGAGAGAAGAGAGAAAGAGAGAGAGAGAGAAGAAAGAGAGATGAGAAGAGAGAGAGAGAGAAGAGAGAGAGAGAGAGGGGGGATGAGGAAAATCAGAGCGAAGAGGTTGAAAATTAGCTAAGGGAACATGAGCACAAGGAACAGAAAAACTGAAAAGGAGGAGAGGCTGAGAGACGGAGAAAAGAGAAAGCCCGTCCTCGGAGCGCGACAAAAAAACAACAACAACAAAAATAACGCCCCACACAATCCTCGTCGCCACGCCGCCCGCGCGATCTCACCCAAACAACCAACAACTCAAACCTTTTTCCACAACATACCGACCTAAACTCTTGTTTCGCTTTAGGAGCGGGGGCGCAGAGGGAGGCTTGACGAACGTTACGAGGCTACAGCCCCGTGCTGGCTGACAGGCGAGGCACGAGCGCGTCGCGACATACGAAGACGATGAGCGTGCGTCTCCTTCCTCGCAGCCGCCGCCCAACGATATTCCAGATCGCGCTACTTCCCCGCCGCGCCGCCGGAACAACCGTGCTACGCAGCAGCATCTTTGAATTTTTATGCACGCACACACGCCGTCCCGCGCACCCAGTCCTCATTTAACTCGTTCGCATCATCAGCAGCACTAAGACGCACCGAGACCGTACGGTGGCGCGCTGGCGCGCGCGTCGGTGGTGGCACGGCCCGCGACGACGACGCGGCGTACGCTCCCACGAGTATTCGCGACCGCGCGCGACGCGCGTCGATATTCACTCGCACGACGGAGATTCGTCGCAGCGCCCCCTGCCGAGCAGGATGTTGTGATGGGGGTGTGCCTAGACATAACGACAGGTATATATACCCTCAACAGCAGCCCCGATAACATATACACTCACAGCAGCCCCGAGTGACAAATACACGTCACAAGCAGCGCCCGATACATATACACTCACAACACCCCCGATACATAACCACACAGCAGCCCCGATACATATACACTCACAGGCACCCCGATAATATACACTCACAGCAGCCTCGATACATATACACTCACACCGCAGCCCGATACGATATACACTCACACAGGTCAGCCCCGATATATATACACTCAAAACACCCCAACCCCCGAAATACTACATCCCACAGCAGGCCTCGTAACATATACACTCCAAACACCCCGCGCGACCGATACATATACATCACAACACCGCCGATCATATAACACTCACAGCACCCTCGATAGCATATACATGCACAGCAGCGCCCGATAACATTATACACTCAGCAGAGCAGACCCCGACTACATATACCTACGCAGCCACGATACATATACACTCACACCCCCCCGATAACAATATACAACCTCCAAACTAGCAACCCTCGATACATATACACTCACAAGCAGCCCGATACATAATACAGCTCCACAGCAGCCCCGATAGCATACTACACTCACAGGCAGCCCGATACATATACACTCCCCAACACCCCCGATAACACACTATAGCACCACCAGCAACCCCTCGCTACACTATACACTGCCCACGCAGATCCCCGAATACAAATAATACACCTACCACAAGCAGCCCCGATACAATTACACTCACACAGCACTCCCCCGATACATATACCACTCCACAAGCAAGCAACCCCGAAGCATATACACCTCACCATACACGGCATACGTCATGCACAGCACACACACACGCGCATGTACACCCACGACAGACACGCGCACATACATCACCGCATACATGCACGCGCTCGCACACACACCACACACACACACCAACACACACACACACACGCACACACACCACACACACACACGCGCGCGCGCGACCACCACACACAACACACACCGCCCGGCACATACACGATACGTGCACGGCACACCGACCGCATGCACACCCACACAGACAGGGGGCCGCACCATACATACACAGCGAGCCCCGACCGCGTCCGCAATACATTGCACGCGCCGCAACATCCACAACAAACACACACACGACACACACACACACACACACCAGCACACATCGCACACACGCACACGCAGCGACATCGCACACACCACGCCAACTACCGCCACACGCCGCACGACGCACCACGCACACGCACAACGCACACGCACTCGCAACACGCACGACGCACGAGATCACACAGACACACGCAGCACGCACGTGCACGCAGCACAGCACTCACACACACACACAACACCCACCACCACACAGCACACACACACCCTATATTAATATAATATTATATATATTTATTTAACTCTTATTTACTATCTACGACTAACATAACACCCTATTAGTTATGATATACCCCACCTAGAAATTAAAAAACCTACGGACCTATCTACTTAAGACAGGTAAATACATACCGATAAATTTTCAACAATTTAATTGTAAAAGCAAAAGCTTTCGAAAGTCAAGCACAGCACACATGCATGCATCATCGTACTTGTGCAGTGTATTTTAACAGGTATTATAATTGAAATATTATATATATATATATATTATATTATATAGTTGTATATATTATAAATACTTATCTTAGACATAGTGATGGATGATCAGATAGGCAATGGATGGATATATAGATAGCGATGGATCGACTCAGATAGATAGATGATGATTAGATTAGACAGACAACGACAGGAACTGAGATAGATCAGATAGATAGACAGACACAGCAGAGGCGAACCACAGATAGATAAATATGATAGATTAGATAGATAGATAGATAGATAGATAGATATGAATTAGGATACGATGAAAAGTAGATAGATAGATAAGATAGATAGAGTACAAGATAGCAGATAGATACGATGAGCAAAATAATAGTAGATAGAAAAGATAGATCGATAGATAGATATATGATAGATAGATAGATGATTAGATAGTAAGATAGATAGATAGACTAGATAGGATAGATAGAGTAGATCGATGGATAGATCGATTAGATAAGATAGATAGATAGATAGATATGAATAAATAGATAGATAATGAGGATTAGGTAATAGATAGATAGATAGTAGATAGATGGATCGATAGATAGATAGAGACAGAAGAAACGAATGATGCGTACTGGTCACATTAATCTGGCTCTATCGCGTCAGGCAGTACATTGGACGGGCAAGAATACATACCATGCTCACTCTAATGTCCATATATCTGCGAACAAGGAGGCGAGATGCCACCGTGTCGGTGACATTGCGGCGAACGTTATTCCGACTGCTACGCGGACTGCGTTCGTGAACTGTGCTTGCTTGATTGTCATATACATCGTGCCATCTGCTCGCCCCAGCTTTTGGCGACACGTTATGAGAAGTAGATCCAGCGCAGTTAGAATTTTATGGCGGCCGTGAGATGTAGCGGGTTTAACGACGGCGAACCAAGAACGCAGCAGTTGTATATATACTAACCGATTCATCCTGAGTGGCCGGTGCAGATGTGGTGCCGTGGTTATATATGATATTATATAATATATAATATATATATATAAGTGTGTGTGTGTGTGGTGTGTGTGGGTGTGTGTGTGGCGCGTGTGTTGTGTGTGTGTGTGTGTGTGTGTGTGTGTGTGTGTGCGTGTGCGTGTGCGTGTGCGTGTGCGTGTGCGTGTGCGTGTGCGTGTGCGTGTGCGTGTGCGTGTGTGTATATGCGTGTGTTGTGCGTGCGTAAGCGGGCTTGGGTATACATGATCCAGTGTCGAATCCAACACATCTAACCGTATATTAACGAGTCGCAATTATAATGCTTACAATAACACGGGATTAAAATTGACGAATTGGTATTATGATAACTTCCGACAATACGCCCATCGTGGTTAAAGGCCGAGCGCGAACGATCGCGATAGCCTACCGTACAGCCAGCATGCATTACAGTGCCAGATGTTGCTTTCTTTACCCACAGGGCAGCCTCGACAACAACGAGAACCGCATAGACACCTACAAAGGAGTAATCCAGAAAGGTAAAGCCGTAAAACTCCATTCAACGATATGCGGGTACTATATTAGAATAAAAACACCGGGTCCGCGCCGCATGCGTGCTTTGAGGCAGACTACGAGCATTAGTGTGACGCGTTGCCCCTCGGCAGCTCGGCAGTCTCCTGTTGCTAGATATGTGACGTCACGCATGGAAATCGTATGATTAAACGCGCGGGTTTGCCTCTGATTGTGCGGATCCTGAATATTATTTACTCCGACCAGCGTGGAAGCGAGTATTATACATTATATATATATATATATATATATATATATATATATATATATATATATATATATATATATTTGCGCGTGTGTGCATGTGTGCGTACGTGCGCGTGTGTTCGCGTGCATGTGTGCGTGCGTGCGTGTGTGATTGTGTATTGTCAGTAAATAAGCCTGTAGGCTGCACGCTCTCGACGTTCCGTGTTTGCGAGAGCTGCCGCGGGCCTGCACCCTTAAGCACTGAACGCATTGTCGCTCGCGACTACGCACCCGAGCAATGTTTTTAATTCATTTGTACACGGCCCGTGGCGTTTTCGCTCCAGGTAGGGTTGATTAAGTCAAGCAACGTGTCGAGTGTTTGGGTTAGGACGTGTGCGCGCGGGCCATGCCCGCCAGTCACAATCTACATGTTTCTTTCATCGCCTCCTCTTCGCCTGGGGATCGCGAACACAAATAAAGTGTAACATTTCTCCCGCTGCTGTGTCGGGGAGTATACGTACGCACGCGCAACACTCGGCTCCCTGCATACCCGCATGTGCGTATAGCTGTGTTGCTCAGGTAACGCGCACTCATGCAACGCGCACTCACTTAATACACACACACACACGCAATGCACACTCATGTAACGTGCACTGACGCAACGCGCACTGACGCAACGCGCACTGACGCAACGCGCACTGACGCAACGCGCACTGACGCAACGCGCACTGACGCAACGCGCACTAAGGCAACACGCACTGCGGTTTGCGTGATCTTACCACCGCCTGTACTCTAATGTTGTGGTTATGAAACCAGAAAACTCCCAGAAAAAAAACGTCTAAAAAATTCACTTATGTACGCACACTCGCACACGCACGCGCGCGCACGCACGGTCGCACGCACGCGCACACACGCACACGCACACGCACACGCACACGCACACGCACACGCACACGCACACGCACACGCACACGCACACACACACACGTGTCAGATGTTTTTCTTCTGGCGAGAATCACAAGCAACCCATTTCATGTATTTAAATACAAAATCTTCAAATAATTTAGTTGGCGCGATTGTCATTGCGAAATGTATATTATTTTATATCTAATATTTATATCTATATATTTTATATCTATTTTATTATTTTAAATGGGTGTATATTATCTAGCTGTTTAACCAAAATATTTGTGTTTAACTTCCTAGCTCTTAGAACAACAACACAAATAGCAACAGCAACAACAATAACAACAACAGCGACAGCAACAACAATATCAACAACAACAATAACAAAAACTACAATAAGAATAACAATAACAGCAACATCAGTAACAACAACAGCAACCGCAGCAGCAGCAGCACTCCCAGCAGCAGCAGTAGCAGCAACAAATAATAATTTTATCATAATCAAGAAGGCACATCAACAAGTATTTTGGTAACGGATGGTGTAAATTAGAAACACCTGTTATTAAAACTGTTAAAACTGTAAAAATATTTATTAAAACTGTTCATTACCACGATCAACGTATGACGTCACAGTGTCACACAAAAGTGTCACAGAAAACAAAATAAAAGCTTGCATTTAATGATTCTATTCCGCACTACATTTATAATTATCGAAAATATATTTAGATGAATATAATTACCCAGGACAGCGACCATTCCGAATATTTTGACCCCCAAGTAATTTTATTCGAGGGGGATGTCTTTAGTAGGGCTTTGCGGCAATATTTGTGGGTCGCTATACGGTGTTGCTAAGGTCTGTTATGTGACCTGCAACTAATCTCTTGCCGCCATTATCTAAAATCGCAATGTAAAGAACAGCTTTCGAGATGTGATTATGCGAGAAAGTTGCGACTCGAAGAACGCGTCCACAGTTTTATTTTTTAAGGTGGCGTCTGGATACGGATGCCAGTTAGTTCTTTATCGACATCTTCACACCGATCTAAATAAAATAACCAGTCACCCCGAAATAGTCACGAGAAGTTACTGACCGTATTCTGAAAAAAATATTGTTTTCGCCGTTTCAAATATGACATTTGCAATTCGATTTTTTTTCAGTAGGTAAACGGAATAACAACGCCGAGGCGGCCTTCGCTAGAGGCATGATGATGAATAGGGGCGTGGCAAGTCCATCTGACATCTTTGTGTCCGTACCTGGCCGTCTGTCGCTGCTCAGTGCCACTTCAAAGTACAAGGTTACTGTCGCCGAAGTGCAGCGCCGCCTATCGCCGCCAGAATGCCTTAATGCATCGCTACTAGGGGGCGTACTACGAAGGTAAATACTGTTTCGTATGCGCCAGCGCGCACGCAGACACAGACACACGCGCACGCACGCGCGCGCGCACGCACGCACGCACACACATAATTAAGTGACCTGTGACGTAATTTTTTTTTCTTATTATTAACGTGTGCGTCACTATAATGTCCACCTGTATCGCTCTCACAATGCCACGACTAGCGCATCACATTCACACAGAATACCAAACCAATTTGACAATATGATTGAATGTTTTTTAATTGCCTTTAGAGCAAAATCTAAAAACGGAGGGAAAACACTCAGGGACAAGCTGGAAAAGATAGGCATGACGTTACCCGCTGGAAGGAGGAAAGCTGCCAACGTCACCTTACTGACGTCACTTGTCGAAGGTGTGTGATTACGAATGAGAGGTGATGAGAAGAGTTTGTGTGCCGAGAAAGCGAGAGAGATATTGAGAGAGTAGAGGTGGGGGGGATAGGTAGAGAGATTGAGTAAGGTAGAGAGAGGGAGAGAGAGAGAGAGAGCGAGAGAGAGAGAGAAAAAAAAAGTGATACATGGAGAAAGAGATGAATGGATAGAGAAAGAAAGAGAGAAAGAGAGAAAGCGGGAGAGAGAAAGAAAGGAAGAGAAAAAGAGAGAGAGCACGCTGTGCTTCGTAACATAATCGACGCTGTATAATATTATCGAAGAGGAGACGCCGTCGCTCACGAAATTAAAACACGTTTTCTCTGCTGTATATGAATATATAATATATACACATCTATCAGTCGCTCCCCGCTCCTACATGGCGATGTCGTCGTCGCTAGAACTTGCTGTACGCTGCCGCCATAATCTCCTATCGCTAATTCGTGAACTGACTTCGTAAACGTCTTATCGCCGCATAACCCAAATTCATTCATGCACACTCGCGCACAGCAGAACTGCTGCATCGAAAAGTTTAACTTGCACGGCTGGCGATAGATAGAGACGGCCGGGCTCAGTCGCCCGAAGGCATCGCTACAAGCTCCTGGCTATCGCACCGCGCTGCATGCACACGCAGCCGATGTTGAGGTTTTAGCGAGGAGGAGAAGGAAAAGGAGGAGGAGGAGGAGGAGAAGGAGGAGGAGGGAAGATTTTCGCAGCAGTCAGCCATCCGGGCTGTCGCGCCGCCATCCGTTCGGAATTCATCTTCGAAAGCGCGCGTCGGCGTTCGGGAAGGTTGGGCGGTGACAAAACACGAAACACGAGACAGGACCCTACCGTCATACGAGCGAGGGAGAGAGAGGGTGTGTTTTGTTTATGTGTGTGCGCGCGTGTTTGTTGTGTGCGTGTGAAGAAAGGCAGAAGCGCTCGTGAAAACAGACGAGTTTTCTGCGTTTTCAAAAACAATTTGTATTAAGTAAAGTGAACGACGACCGACCAATCTGCATTGCGTGGAGTGAACCACCGATAGAACGCGAGCGCAGGTGTGATGATGTGACAAGTCGTGTTTACCTGGCCGTGCCGAGCCGCTTACATCGTTACGATAACACAGGGATCATCGTACGCCGTACGACACGCGACATTGTGATTCTTTCTCCGCCATTCCGCGATTGTTCGCACGAATTGCAATCGTTATCATCGTCGTCGTCGTCGTCGCCGAGCCATGGAGCAGACACAACAAGAATTAGAGGTAGGAAGGTTACGAGAGAAAGAGAGGGGGGGAGAGTGAGAGAGAGACAGAGACAGACAGAGAGAGAGAGAGAGAGAGAGAGAGAGAGAGAGAGAGAGAGAGAGAGAGAGAGAGAGAGA